GCCTTCCAAACCAGCCCGCCAGTTTGACTTCTCCGGGGCGCTGTCGGGACCCAAGCGACGGGGGCCAGTGCAAACGGGGGGGGGGCCAGTCAGAGCGCCGGACCGTGCAAGATCTCGCAGGGCCAGGGGTGCATCGACAAGGGTTTGGGTGAAGGATACAGTAGGAACCTTGCTGGATCCTGCATCGCCTGATCGGCCTTGGTCTGGACTGGTTTGGGTCAGCAGATCCCCGACGCTGGAGGCCTGGGGAGTTGGGATGCAACTCCTGGGAGGTCAAGACCAGCATCGGCGCTGGTATACCCGTGGGCCAAAACCAAATCATCGGGCCTAAGCCCGCCTGGTTTCGCCTACTACCGCTCAGAGGGGCCGACTCTTGGGTTCTATCCGGCCTAACCTGGCCGAGTGGCCCCTCAATCGGGCTAAATGATTCTCTTAGCCTAGCCGTTCTTACGAACACTTTCCAGAATGTGCTTCCCGGGGATGGAACGTGGTCGAAGGCAGGAGGAGAAGAAGGAGAAGGACTCGAAGAGCGCGCGGAGAGGAGAACGCCCTGTCGGCGGCGGAGTTCGCGCGCGGGACGCTGAAGTGGCCCCTGGACAGCACAATGGTGCCCTCGCGCTCACGGGTGGTAGGGAGGAGGAGCACGAGGACGAGGAGGAAGAAGATGAGGAGGAGGAAGAAGATGAGGAGGAGGAGGAGGAAGAGGATGAGGAGGAGGCAGCAGGGGCGGGAATAGGAAGCAGGAGCAGGAAGAGGAGGAAGATGAGTAGGAGGAGGATGCACATGAGGAGTAAGAGAGACAGGATGAGGAGGAGATTTGCAGAATGGCTCAAGCTATTTCCCCTCTGGGGGTTAGGTCCCAAGGTGAGGAGCTGATCTGTTGCCACATTTGCCCGCGTCACCGACCTGGGCCATAGCAGGGCCGTGGGCAGGTTACCGTATTTCTCTTGTTGTGCGTGTCTCAGCATGTGAGTTCGAGGTTCAGGCAAGGGCAGACGTCAGATCCAGGACAAGGGCAAGGGCGGCAAGTCCCAGGCTGGTCCCCGTGCGCGTCAACGGTCCGTCCTGAGCCTGAGCCGAGCACAGACTCATGTTCCTACGAATGTGCAGGGTACCAGGCATATGAGAACATCCGTCCCCCATGGTGCTGGCGTTGTGGGCACCACTGGCAGGCGGCATCGGCCAAAACCACCAGCAGCCCAACGAAACGTCCAGCGCCAAGGGATGCAGAGAAGCCGATCGGCCCGCAGGTTTCACAGTTGCAGCATACCTTACACCTCATCAAATGTTACGGGGAGAAGGCGGACCCCTCGGCTGGACGGACGGTGGCATCGGTTAGGGGTCGCACGAGATAGCAGCGGGATTCGGATAAGGCCGAGAGCAAGTTGTACTAAATTCATGTTGCACGTGTGGTTCGAGTTCAGAAGCAGTTGGAGCGCAACGGCGGTACGTACAACTGCGGGAGCAAGCATTGGCAGACTAGGATGTGCTGAGGGCTTTGATTGAGGCCGATCTGAAATCAGCCACCAGGTCAAATGAGGACTTCGAGCACAAGGTTTCTCTGCTGGCGAGATCTAAACCAGCCGCCCCCCCAGCACGGACCCGCACATGCTCCCGCTAGGCCCTCAGTCGCCGGTCTCCACCCGATCGCGGTAAGGGCGCAGCGATGGCAGCAATCAGTGGTATGCAGTCGGGCAACGACTTGGCCTGGCAGTTCGGAGTCTGGTTCGCGTGTGGTCCGCGCGTGCTTCGCGCTTGGGCCGCGCGTGGTTCGGGAGTTCCGATAACGCCCCACAGTCGCCCCAGAGGCGCCGCAAGGAGCGTGTCGTCTCATTTGTGCTGTGGCCATCCCAACCCAGGGGGAGTTCCCCGTCGTTCGTCCCGCCTGCCCTGCGGCACGCGCAACTGCATATGATTGGGTCCTTCGCCAGGATGATTGTTGTGCTCCCGGGCCCAGTGTTAAGTCGGGCATCTCCCTCTACAGGAGGAATTCTCAAGAATAGTCGAAACATAGCCTGAGGACGATGTTTCGGATTTTCTCTATATTTTTGAATTTATTTTGACCATTATTTCGTTTTCGCCAAAAATATACCTGTAAGAGGACATGCCCGACCTAAGCCCAGTGAGGGCCCCCCAGCGGCCGAAAACGGACAACCATTTCCTGCTGTAATCTTGCACGACGCGAGGATGCCAGGGAGGGTCCATGCGCGGCTGCTTGCGCACTCCGCCAGGGCGGAGTGAGGATGGAGGAGGACGGAGGGAGAGAGGGAGGAGAGGAGAGGAGAGGAGGAGGCGGAGGCGGAGGAGGAGGAGGCGGAAGAGGAGGCGGAAGAGGAGGCGGAGGCCGAGGAGGAGGAGGAGGAGGGAAGAAAGCGGTGGCATCCCCCGCGCCCTGCTGCAGGTGTTCGGCCGCTCCATCGGCACGGGTCCGGCCACGGCCCTGGCCTCCATGTTCCGCATTGCCGGGCTCATCCTGGTAACGCCGTTCATGTCGATCCGGGAGCCGCGGCGCTAGGAGTTGCTGTCGAAAAAGAAGAGATCGGCACGAGTGAAATGCTTGTCCATGGACGGACTCGCTGTCATTGTCGCCGCGGGTTTTTTCGCTTGACATTCACAGGAGCATACGCAACACCGGCCGCTGTTGGTTTTGGACATCTTGTGCTGTCAAGCATCGCGTCTATTCGTGTCCGTACCCTTTTTTGGCGTGCTAGAAAACGGCAAGAGCATAAGAGAAGGAGGGAGAGAGAAGAGAGGGAGAGCCTGTTCAGTGTACGCCTGAAGGGGTGGGTTCTCTTTTAGATGGTTTACCCCCCGGTTTCGACTTGAAGGTGGCCGGCGAAATTATTTTGCGTTAATAACGGGGTAAAATGTTGATTTTCAATAGAAAAAGTGCGTTTCGCGTGTGCCCGCTCGAGGAAAGTGCGCCCCCCCATCTCGGATCCTCGATAAAAAACGGGGTCCGCAGACCCCCGTTTTCCCTCGTATAAAAGAAGGTGCGGAGCGTTTTTCGCAGAATCCTAGACAAATAACGGGGTCTGGAGCCCCAACCGCGACGCGGAAAAGCGCCCCGCGCGCAGGAATTCCGAGGATGTCTCGCGCGTGCCGCGTCCCGCGCGCAGGAATTTCGAGGATGTCTCTACTAATTCTCTTGTTTCGTCAGGATTTCTTAGAATTTTGGCAGGCTGTCTCGAGCGAAACGCTTTTTTTACATAGTTTGTTGAGGATGTCTCGAGGGAAACGCTGGTTTTGCAAAATTTGGGGATGTCTCGAGCGGGGGCTTCGCGGGGGGGCAGACTTCAGAGGATGTCTCAGGCGAAATGCTTGTTTTCGTGTCCCGCTCGCAGGAATTCCAAGGATGTCTCGCGCGTGCCGCGTCCCGCGCGCAGGAATTTTGATGATGTCTCGACTAACTCGTTTGTTTTGCCAGGATGTCCAAAGATTTTGACCGGATGTCTAAAGCAAGACGCTTGTTTTTCATAATGTTTCATAATTTGTTTAGGATGTCTCGAGCGAAACGCTGGTTTTGCAAACTTGGGGGATGTCTCGAGCGGGGGCCTCGTGGGGGGCCAGAATTAAAAGGATGTCTCAGGCGAAATGTTTGTTTTCACGTCCCGCTCGCAGGAATTCCGGGGATGTCTCGCGCGTGCCACGTCCCGCGCGCAGGAATTTTGAGGATGTCCCGTAGCGCGTCCCCTTGGCACGTCCTACGGTGCGACCCCATGGCACGTCCCTTGGCACGTCGCCTGGCGCGTCCCTTGGGACGTTTCGCGGCGCGTCCTCCTGGCATGTCCCCCTGTCAATTAGCTCTGGGGCAGCTACTATGTGTTCAGGCAGCTCGAGCTTCAGATCCAGATCAGTTCGGTCAGGACTCGGATGCAAAGGAAGACTCGATCCACGACGCTATAGAGCACAACCGCGGCATGGCACATCGCAATTCAGCACGGTGCAGCACAGCACAGCCCTCGGCACGGTACATCAAGATCGATACAATCAGCATTGCACTTGCCCGTCACCCAATCAGGTGTCTTTGAAAACGTTGCCATGCTCTACATTTCTATATTCCTTTCCGGGTTCGTGGGTCGATCATGTTGTTTTTCACTACGTTCAAGACGACCCAAGAGATCCCCGAGCTCGCCCCCAGACGGGCCGAGAGGCCCCGAAGACGGTCCAAAGGCAACCCAAGAGCGCCCCACGACGGACCCAGAGGCACCGAAGACGGCGCAAGAGCGCTCCAAGACAGCCCCGAGAGAGAGCCAAAATTGGGAAATCCATGTCAGAATCCAGGATTTCCGCCCCAAGAGTATCCCTGAGACTGCCAGCAGGTCCCCACAGGCCTTAGAGGCCCCCAGATGATTTGGATCGGTGCTAAAGTGTGTCATGGGGGGTTCAGGGGGTCTTGGATGGCTCCGAGGGCGCCCTGCTTCAGACCTCCCAACCGAACCTCGACCCGCCAAAAGGGCATGAAGGGTGCCCAGAGGGCCCCAAAACGCTCCCAGCACGCCCACCATTGCGTCGAGACGGCCCACGAGGCCTCCGAGACGCCCCAAGAGGGCTCCAAAGTGCTCGCCGAGAGATTCCCGATAAGCAGCATTCACTGGTTTCCAGTAGGTCTTTCAAGGATTCTCCCGTTGTCGCCTGCTCCGCTTCCCTACGCCCCGAGACGGTCCAAGAGGCGTCCAACAGGGCCGCAGCACACCCCAAGAGGGCGCCAAGACGGCTCAAGAGGCGCCCATGATGGCCCAAGAGGCCCGAGACGGCTCCCAAAATGAGCCTGGACACGCCAAAATAGCATTAAGGGAGTCCACGCGGGCTCCAAGACGCTCCGAAGACGGTGACGGTTGCTTCGAAACGGCCCCCAAGACGCCTCCAACAAAAACCCAAAATGTTTCCGAAACCATCTTGGCTCAAGTTTATGTCAGGCTTGCTTTCAGCATTGTGAACTTCATCCGCGCACATCTCACACTCGTATCTACGACGGTTGTTCCGGTTGTCTCACAGATGGCACATGTCATTATTTGGATAGCGCGGATACTTCACAAACGGCCCCCATCTGATTACCGGCGCCCCTAATTCAAACCGCTAATTCCGCTAATTGCCCCCAATTCAAACCGCTAATTCCGCGAATTGCCTTTAATTCAAACCGCTAATTCCTCAACTTACCTTGAACTCACCACTCACCAAAACTCTCCAACCCAACCCGACGGCCCCGATTTGCCCTCCATTTCCAGTTTGGGGGGGGTCGGGGGACATCGAAAACACACACGCATGAAGCCCGTGCCCCCCCAACCCGAAATTCGGGTCTTCGGGTTGGGGTGGGGTGGTCTGGTAGGTAGTCATGAACTGCATGACACAATGACTCGCTGTTGGTGGCAATTTCGTGGGCGTCTCACGTTTTTTCCAGGGCGGCGATGGCGGCGATTTGTTTCGGGGGGGGGGCAGGGGAGTAGGGCGAGGGGCGCGCTCGCCGCTGCCCCGAGCCACTTTGGCTCTGGGCTCGGCCATGGAGGCCGAGCTTGAGGCGGAGCTCTTCGCCATCCCCGCGCTCGATGGCGGGGGGGGGGGGGGGGGGGGCGCTCGCGCGTGTGCGCGTGCGTGAAGAGGGCGAGGGCGAATAGGAGTGCGTGGGGAGGAAGCAGAAAAATGACCCCAGTGCGACCCTACCTAGGAGTTGGAATCCCTGGGAAAGCCGCATTCGTAGTAACAGTAAAGGTAGGCTAAAGCTGAGCCGCAGCTAAGCTAAAGCTAAGCTAACGCTAAGCTAAAGCTAAGCTAACGCTAAGCTTCAGCTAAGCTAAGCTAAGCTTCAGCTAAGCTAAAGCTAAGCTAAAGCTAAGCTAAAGATGAGCTAAGCTAAAGCTAAGCAGAAGCTAAGCTACAGCCAAGCTACAGCTAAGCTAAATCTAAGCTAAAGCTAAGCTAAAGCTAAGCCACAGCCAAACTAAAGCTAAGCTAAAGGCTAAGCTAAAGGCTAAGCTAAAGGCTAAGCTAAAGCTAAGCTAAAGCTAAGCTGAACGCTAAGCTAAACGCTAAGCTAAAGCTAAGCTAAAGCTAAACTAAAGCTAAAGCTAACGCTAAAGCTAAAGCTAAAGCTCCCAGGGGACTGGGGGAACCGCTCCCAGGGGACTGGGGGAACCGCCCGGGGCGCGTTGCACTGCCTGGCTCCTTTAAGCTGAGAGTAAGAACCCTTCTAGGCAGAGCCTAGGTAGGGAAAAAGGGGAAAGAGAAAGGGGAAAAACGAGGGGGGGGGTAGGAGGGGAGGAAGAGGAGCAGGGGAGAGCATGCAACGGCAGGGGCAGTGGGGAGAAGAAAGAGGTCGAGGGTGAGGAGGAGGGCGTGGGGAGGGCGAAGAGGGACAGGCGCACTCGACTCGGAGCTGGAGGCGCTGGACGTGGACCTGGTCGACGCGGGGCTGCAGGCGCTGGCTGGCCGGGCAGCCGCCGCCGCCCGCGACCGGGCGGCCTCCGGCGCCTTCGTCGGCCAGCGGGGGTCGAGGTCGCGTCTTGGGGGGGGGGGGGGGGGGATGAGGGGGGTGGGGGGGAGGGGAAGGAGGGGGGTGGCGGGGTCAAAAACTAATGCAAAGTGATCGCGGGGGGCCCGCGCACGCTCCAGATGTCGGGGCAACGTGCGTTCTGTTTTTTTTTTTTGTTTTCTTCCCCCGGGGGTGGCTGGCCTGCGCGCAGCGAGCAATATGACGGCACCCCCCGCCGTCCGCTTTAAAACCAACGCAAAGTGGTCGCGGAACGCCCGCAGTGCCCCATATGCAAAGGCAAGGGCCCGGCAGGGGGCAGGGCGGAGCGGCGGTGGAAAAGACCCTGAGATCCGCCCACGGTGAAAAGTCGCAACGGGAGGTCTTTCGTCATTGTCGGCCTCGGGAGGCCCAGATCCTCGGGTGAAACGTCGATCCAAGGGGAAGCTCCTAGACTTCGAAAAATCACAATGGCGGATGTCTGGGAAGACAGTGGACGTGATATGTTCGCTTTCTTTGCAAGGGCCCACATGCTGCGCGTCAGGAGTTTGGGTTCATCTTTAAAGGGCCTCCGCCCACCCTCTCCCTCCTCCGCGCCTTCCTTCGCGTCGCCTCGTCGCCGCCCCGCGTCGACCCCCCTCTATCCGAGTGCTCGAGCCCCCAGGCCGCGGAGGCGGGCCGTCGTTCCTCGCCGTGCCCCCCCCGAACCTCGGGCCCCCGAGGGGCTTCCTCGTCGCCGCGGCTGGGCGCCGCGCGAATGGCCAGGGCGCTTGGGCCCGGGGGGGGTCCAGGGGCCGATTTTGAGCCGATCGGGCCACCGTAGATTTCGCCGCTCGCCACCTTCCCCGTCTCCCTCGCAGGAGTTGCATTCGGAGAGGCGCGGGCGACGTCGCTCGCTCGGCGGAGAATCTAGCTGGCGCGTGGAACTCCCAGAGGTTGCGCATCGGCGATTTCGCGCGGCGGTTTTGGCGCAGCCGCGGGTCGCAGGGCCGCGGGGAGCACGAGCGCCGCGAGCACTCCAACAAGTGGAGCGT